GCCGCAGTCCCTCCACACGCCAGTTTGCTGCAAGAACAGGCCCATTGGGGTTGCAGAGCATTCCCTGCAAGCAGGCAGAAGGGCCATGTAAAAATCAAATCCACATGACTGTAGTTACAGGCAACCAAAGAGAGGGTTGCTCTTCCAAGAAAAACTTTTCCATGTAAAAGAATTCTTAATCTCCCCTTTGACTGTCATTGTTGAAATGATGGCTTCGCAGGCTTGAAATTTAAGACCCTATCGGCGTCTTTTCTGTTAGCTGTGATTTATGAATGGTTTCGCTGTTGATTATCCTCCAAGATTACAGCACAGCAGCCCTGACAGACAAGCAGAGGAAATTTCACAGGATAACGGGCAGCTCCTTCTCCAGGGCAGTGAGGCAGGGAGGTGTGTTTGGAATCCAGCATGTAACAATATCAGCAAATGCCAACTGGACTTCACAGGTAATCGAATACTCATCATGTAACGCCCTACTCAAAGGCAAGCAGGGTCAGCAGAAGTTTTGATGATGATTTTTTGGTGCTTCAGATCCTTTGCTCGTTCTGTAATCCAACATTCAGCTGGGGGCTTTTGCCTTAACTGTGGCACAAACTGTACAAACTGCAGTCAAATGCATTTTCATACAACCCTGTGCACGTTCTTCAAAGACCATCCTTCCTTACTGCAGTTGCAAAGTCTACTGTCATGCCTGGGAGATGCACCGTCTTTATTCAGGCTATTCAAAGGAAATTTGCTTCCTTTGATTTATTGCCAAGAACAGGCACTCCTGACCCCAGAAAAGGAGATTTTTTTTTCTGCTTTTCATTCCCATTTCCTGCTAGACAGTTTGTTCCAAGTCACTGCTAGGAGGGCTGTTTGTCTGGTGAGGGTAGCAGGGCCAGAGCAGGTGCAGCCATGACTTGAGGGGGCTGTGGCCTTCACTGGAGCAGACAGCCAAGACTTAGAGTCCAGGTTGAAAACATTTCTGATGTGGGGGCTGCCTAAAAATTAATGAGTAGACCTCAGGAGGTGATTTTATCTCTTGATAAATGGCCTGTGCTTTTCAGACAGAAAGGTTCCTTTGATTTGAACTCTGCCATACTGCCCTGCAAAATGAATCACTATTGTGGTTTCCAGGTCTAGCACTATGGATGTGCTTCCTGCTCTTTGTATCACATCTGGACCCATGCAGTGAGCAGTGGAATGCCACCCCCGCTTTGGATCATTTTGGGCTGAGGTGAACAACTCCGTGGTGAGCCAGGCAAGGGTGGTCTGGGCCTGACATACCCGTGTCCTGCTCTTTGGTCATATTCCCTTCAGTGATGCTGCTGTTTCAGCGCCTTTCAACACGATTGTCGGGAACACATGGCAGAGAGGGGAGGCTGCACTTCTTTGGAGAGAACCAGAGAGCACAGTAACATCCAGCCGTGGCCCGAGTCTTCTTACTGGGACTGGTTACGCTGTGGGTGTTCTGAAGGATCAGGTTCGACACTGAACCAGATTGGACATTCCTAGCATTCTTCCCATTTTGCCACCCAGCCTGCTTCAGAAAAAGTCCTGATGTAGGTGTTTGTATCCTGTCTCTTTCTTCCCTCACTGTATTTGTCTTTCAAGCCTGGCAGCAGTGGAAGGAAACTTAGCACGTGATGCTGACACTCAGCCATGTCTGTGGGACGGCAGATTCCTAAAGTACTCAAATCTAGCTAAGAGAATAGCTAGGAAAACAGGAGGCAGAGGACTCATAAAAGCATGGAGAGGCTTGAGTCCCAGTGGATTCACGGAGCGATAGCAGCTTTTATCCAGAAGCTGGGCTGTTCACAGCAAGAAGGCTGTCTGTGTTCCTGCCCCCATTGCCCCCCCCGCCCCACTCCCTCTCTCAAGACCTCTCACCTGTTTCAGGACTGGACCTGGGTATTGCATTTTATAACAAATAGATCAATAACAAAAAGTTGGAGAAGCTCTGAGAAATGTGTGCTTCAAAAAGCCCTCTCTACTTGATGTCAGAACTGCACCTCTGCCTGAGAGGGAATCTTAACAGATACAATCCTGCTGGAATTTTCCCTAGTTTTCTGCTTCTTGACTCCCCACTCCTTATTTACAGTTGTTTTACACTCAAATTCCCAGCTAGGCAGGGTTATTCCTTCAGAGTTAGTGCTGGTAGTGGAGGCCACTGTCCCCCAGCCCGTGCCTTCACACACTGCTGCCCTTGTACCACTGTGCTTGCACCTGTTTGTCTACACTCAGCTGCTTCAGAAAACTCCCCTCCAGACTTTTCCTTCCTCTTGTCCCACCATACACACAAGGGCCCAGTTTCCCTGTTCCCAAGCCAAGACACAGGAATGTACCAGTCCCTAGTGATTCCTTCCAGCAAATTAAGAATTGCTGAACTAAAGAGGGTTTCAGTAAAGCAACATGGTCTCAACTGAAAAAAACCTGCATTTGCTGTTTTTCTCCTTCAGTAGGGCACTGTGCAGTATTGACATCCTGTTTCACCAAGTCTAATTCTATACTACGCCATATATACACCTGTGTCTGCACACTCTATCCTACACTGAGTTTCAATTCAGGCTGATTTTCACTGGCCAAGAGCTGGATACTGGGGCTCCAGGAGGACTGACCAAAGAAGGAGTCATTTCCATCACAGCCATCAGGACAGCAGCGTTTCTTACCACCTGCATGCCCTGTGCTTTACACAACAGAGCTCAACTGGGGTGAGCAACCCACTACTAACTTCAAACAGAATAATAATAACAACAACAACAACAATAATACCACCATATGTACACACACATGGGCTGCAGAACAACAACAACAACAACGACAATCAAAATACCACCATAATATGTGCACACACATGCCCTGCAGAGCACAGCAGCAGTTTTGCCAGTTATAAGTGAAGTCAATATCCCTACTAGTGCTTGGGGATGCTCAGCAGTGCTTAGTATTTCAGATGTGTAGAGCTCAGCAACCTCTAAACTATGAACATCCACTTTTAAGCTAAACACGTGTCATACAGAAATCTACATTTAAAGCATACATTATTTAGCTCCAGGAAAGACTGGATTGCAGTTTCTCAAAACAAGAATCAGAAAAAACACAGTCTCCCTTCAACTGCTCCCCAAGCTAAAATATACCTTTCTAGGACTAAAGGACAGTGCACTCACCCCTGCCCAGTGTCTCTTTTTTCTGCTCCTTTTTTCTCTGTGAAGGAAAGCAGCTCTGAAGACACTCCTTCCCCTTGCACATATGGTCTTGCCAGTTCAGGAGAGGGGCAGGGGAACAGGGCTGCAGGGGAACTGCTGGGCTGAATGCCTGAGATCACAGCGTTAACTGGCCAGAGAATCCTATTACGTGATAGGTAGCAAGCCAGGGACTAATTTATGGAAATTTTGACCTTTGGTCCCCTTTGACATTTTCAGATCAGCCATAGCCTGTGTGAGACATTAGAGCCCTTACAGTAAGGGGCTCTAAATCAGCCTGTGCAGCTGCTGGAGCCGGCGAGCGGGTCAGAGGTAAAAATTCACTGAGGTTCGTGTGTGGGCTGCTCGGTGCCTGTTTGACATTTACAAATCAGTGACATTCCTCTGCACAGCTCAGTGCATACAAATCACTTCAGTCACTCTGAGGAGGGCCCCTCATTTCAGTCAAAGGTGGATTTGGGCATCCTTGGCCTTTCCTTTTGACTTGAGCAAGGCTACAGCTAAACAAATCCAGTTTTACCACCCTACAGTGTGACCCGCTCCCTCAGGAGGATGGAGTGTGGGCACTTTCACATTCAACCCAACTTCCCAGGGCTTTGTGCCATTTTCATGGCTTGGATGTAAAGCCTTCACCACTAGGTGCAATACCAGACCCCTCAAATTTTCCTCAGTTGCCACAACAAACGTGTTTGTCGGTTTTGTAGCACAAACAGACACAGTCTCATTCCACTGGGTGCTGGGCCAACAACTCAGACCAAGAGAAGGTGGCCAGTTGTATTGCAACAGTTTCCCATGGAAACCTATTTGCCATGAATAAAGCTCCACCAGGCTGAGCTGTATGAGTGGGCTTGCCCCAGATTTCTCACAGTCTAGACTCTATGAAGAGAGAAAACATGATGAGAAAAACACAACCAAGGCTGTGGACAAGGTAACATTAGCATCAGCCAGTTATTGTGCAATAAATGACCATATTGGCTTCAGCCAGCCTGACCTGTTTAACCGCTACTGCTTCCCCGAACCCTGAGGGTTGATATGGACTCTACATTCACCTCAGTGCTGGCAGCGCCTCTGGCACATGATGCTCCTCCTGGCTAGAGGCTGTGCTGGGATTTGGGATGCTCTCCCACGGCGTTTATGGTTTTCTCGAACACATGATGGGTGGGATGGAGAGGCCACATCCATGGTAGCAGACAAGCAGCTGTGGAGCCAAAGAAAGAGGTGTGAAGGTACAGGAGGAGGCACGAGAGCCACCACGAGGGTATGGTGGCACAGGGACCAAGACTGCCACAGTGACCAGCTGCCTTGGCGAAGCCACCCTTCGCCACCTCAAAGCAAAGAGAGATGATGGCTCTTGAGAGAGTCTCTTCCCTGGTGCCCACACACCACGACACTGAAGGGAAAAGCTACTTTGGGGATGTGGGGGTGAAAGAAGTACGAAAATCAGAACTGAGGGGAAAATCAGACATAAGTGAGGGAAAACTGACAGCAGCGAGGGATTGAGCGGAGGGAAGCCGCAGCCCAGGACAGGTTGGGATAGGTGGGTGGGTGAGGAAGCCCTTCTCCCGACGCCCGGGAGGGACAGGGCGGGCGGGCGGCGCCGAACGCGCTCCGCGCCGGGGAAGCGCCCGGGAACGTGTGGCCGGGGCAGAGCTGGGGGGCCGGGGGAAGGGGAGGGCGCTCCCCGGCTCCCTCCCACCCTCTCCGGATAAATGGGCCGCCGGGAGGCGGCGGGCGGGCGGTGCAGCGTGTGGAGGAGCGCGGCGCGTCCCCATCCCGTCCCCGTCCGGTCCCTGTCCCGTCCCCCGTCCCGCCCAGCGCTCCCTGCCGGCGGGGCCGCCCCGCGTACACGGCCGCGTCCCCGCGGGGCTGGGCGGGGGGATCGGGCTTCGGCTTCCCCTCCCCGGGAGCGCCTGACGGGCGGGCAGGGCCGGGGCCGGTGGAGGGGAGGCGGCCGGGGCACCCCGGTCCGGCCGATGCTGGCGCTGCCCCGCGCGGCACCGGGTTCCAGCGGGCTGGTGGCGGCGGTCGGGACTCAGGGGGGGCCCCCCGGCGTCCCTTCCCCTTCCCTCCCTCCGCGGCGGGCGGCCCTGGAGGATTTTCTCCCGCCGCGGCCCCCTCGCTGCCCCCCAGACATGGTAGGTCACCTCCAGCTGCAAGGGATGGACGAGAGCCTGAAGGAGAAGAGCCGGGAAGGCTTGCTGGACAGCCCGGACTCGGGGCTGCCCCCCAGCCCCAGCCCCCCCTTCTACTCGCTGTCGCCCGGTGAGGGTCGGGCAGGGGGCAGCGGCGGTGCGGACCCCCCGGCCCCGGGGCACCGGCGAGAGGCCAAGGACGGCAAAGTGGTAAGAGCCAGACCCGGGCGCCGGGCTCTGTCCTCTCCGGGCCCCGGGGGGGAAAGGCTGGCCGAGCCCCGGCGTGGGGGACAGCCAGGAGGGCGCCTGTGCCCGCTGCCGGGACACCCCCGGCCGTGTCCCCCCGCGCCGGTGGCCGGGGGCTCTCGGGCTGCCCGTGGCAGCTGCAGTCCGGTGTTGGCACCGCCGCTGCTGTGCCAGGCAGGGCTTGGCCCAGTGCCAGGCGGGGTTTTCGGATACGCTCACAAGAGTGTTGGCAGTTTGGCTGGGTAAACTCGTAATAACGGTGTGGGAGCGAAACCCAGGTCTGAAACAGGCTCCCCTGCCTTACCTTCGGAACAGACAAGTGTAATTGCTCCTCAGTGACACTGTGATGCCTGGTAGGTGCAGGTTGGAGCTGCATCCATCCGGACCAAGGCAGGGGCATGTGGCTCCCAGCCATCCTGGCATCCCACATCTGTTTTGTGAGGAGCGCGTAGCCACCTTTGCTGGAGCCCTGTCTGAAAGAAAGACAGAACTGCCTGTTAGCTGGGGCAGGGTACGGATGAGTGTCCGAGGAGTTGGGACAGGGGCTGGGGCAGGCCGTGTCTGCCGCCCTTTGCTGGAGCGGGGCTTTGTGGAGTGAAGGGTTTGTGTTCTTGACGGCCGAGCAGAGCAGGGGCAGTGGTTTGTAAGCTCAGCTGGCAGAGCACAGCAGATTTCAGTCAGCCTGATGCAGTGCCAGCGAAGCGGTTCACTGTACACTACTATTTGGGTAGATTTATTATGACTATTATTCTGTTATATTTGTTTATTTCTATCCCTGGGCTATAAAAACTGTTTTTAAAACACAAAGTTCAGAGTATAAGCAATGGTGGTGGAGGCTTTTAAAGGATGATGAAAGTTCTTCCCTAGGGCTCTTTAAAATTTTTTTAAACATATATAAAAGATGTTTGTAGGTGTATTCAACACAGTTAATTGGCTTCTATATTGAATAGAAACTGTGGCACAAATCTTTCTATGAGAAAAATTTACCTACCTATGGATCAGTGACAATTCAAAGACTTCTTCCCCATAGAAGCATTTTGCAATGACTTCTCACACCCTCGTGCACTTTCTCAAGTTCTAAGGCTATTTTAGCATATTATTGAAAACTGCCTTTTACTCCTGAACCTGCCAAAGCCTTCCCCATGAACAGTGACTCCTCCTCACCAGACTACAGTGGGGAGAGCGTGAGGTGTTATTGCAAAAATCAAATCTCAAAACCTACTCACGCCGCGGTTCCAAATATGGAGCCTTACCTGCAGATGCCTGGGGCGTGTGTGCCATCTTGATGGGACTGTTTATGTACAAAGAGTTACCCATACACCTCTGATTTGGCAGGATCAGGCTGTTGCTATGTGTCTGTAAAATAAAATGTGGGAGGAAGGTGAATGGAGGCTGCTGGACCAGAAAACAGCTGGGGTGGAGGTGTCTGCAGAGCTCTGTAATAGGGATATGACAGTTTCTGTTCCAGTAGTATGAGAGTTGGCCACCACTCCACCCAAGAAAGCCCTTAGATATTGAAGATGAAAGAACAGGAGAAAATTTATTTCAGCTCACGGGCTATTAGGACTCAGAGTTTCAGTGCTTGACTCCTACAGGGAAAAAAAAGTTATTCCTGTGATATATGTAAGGCAAAAATAGGTTTTCCAGTTATTTTGATCATAAATCAACATTTTACAGATTTCAGAGAAACTCACACTGTACATGCTTCCAAATTTTGTATCGCATTGCAAGGGTAGCCCTTGGCTCCTGCCTTAGAGTATGGGTTCCATACATTGGGGGTATTTTCGTGCTTTTAGGAGGTACAGAAGGTTACAGGCATCCAAACACTGAAACCACTTGGACTGTATTGTTTGGAGTGGTGCTGGACTGTGCTCTTTAACTCTGTTTGGTGCACTGCAAAATAATGAAGTAAGTAGGAACTTTCACTCTATTTGATTGTACAGAGAGTTTCACTTCTTCTCAATTCCACCCTGCAAATACTGTGCTCGCAGCTGTTATTAAAGCAGGAAAAATACGAAGAGCGTTGCTTGCTTCATACTTCTAAATTGCAGTGTCTAATTAGCTTTAATCTTGCTGTTTAACAAGGACTTGCAGATCTATGAGCAGTTATGCAATCCATGAATGTGCTTCTGTTTAACTCTACTCCTCTGCAGTTCATCAGAGCATGCAAAATTGGCAAATCAATAATTGCAGCTATTTGCACACCAAGAAATGCCTTTTTAAATTGACTGTTATATTAGTGTTTGTTTTGCTTACAAACATGACAGAGCCAAGAATGCAGCCTGCACTCTTTGTGTTAGAATACTATAAAACCTCACAGAAACTCAGTCAGTAACGGCCAAAGTTCCAGTATGTACAGTAACAATAAATTGCTGTCAGGTGAAGAAAACAACATTCCAGATCTGCAGGAAGTATTTCATACTATTCTTTGCTGCAGAACTATCAAACCACCAGTCTGAGCCCATTTGGTTCATTTTGCAGTCAGCTATTTTGCTCCAACTTCACAAATATGTTACAGAATTTTTCTGCTCATGCTGACTAAAAGGAGATTGCATGCCCTTATCGAGGACTTTCTTGTGTTTAAAATCTGTCTCTCTCTGCTCTGTGTTATTAACTGTGACTCTGAAAAAGTAAACTCTCTACTCTTTAATAAGCACAACTTTGTTTCAAAGACAATGCACCATTTATTCACATTTAACCAGCCAATTTGGGAACAGCTTTGGGATCCAAGAAAATATGAAAGGCAATTTTGGGCCAGAGTCATAAATACCACAAGTTCAACACCATTTAGGGACTTTTTTTTTTTTCATTTTACTTGCAGTGAAGGAGAAATTGGCTTTTATTTCTTCAAATAAAGTCCATATAGGGAATTTGTCAAGTGTTTTGTGCTTAAGTGCAAATATCCTAAGGAAAATAGAAGGTGACTTTTACCTAGTTCTGCCTCTTAAATCTGAAACATGATTAAATTGATTCTTATGACTTGGGTTACTGAATTCTCTAGGCTGTGCCCATAAAGTTGGGCCAAAAGGAACATAAATACAATGAAATAAATCTCTAATAATATGCACAAAGAAGCAGTTGCTGAAAGGGTAGAGAATGAAATGACATCAAAGTAGCCAGATCTGCTTAGACTTTTCCCTGTTGTTGTTGCCCTGGGATGTAGTTTTAGGCTAAAAGAACTGTTTTTTAGCCTGTGTTGAAATAAATGCTTTGCATTCATCAGCACAACTCCTAATGGATATTGAGGGAGATCAGGATCACATTCATCTGCAGAACTATCAGTCGTACCTTCTTGAAGCAGCAGACTTGGTGTTCCTTCCCAACAGTGAAGGGAACTATTGTCACTGCAACAAGTTCCTTTTTGAAAGACTTTTAAGTATTTGTGCATTCAACCTGCTTGACTGAGCACTGACTTCTGTGGGACTACATCCTAGTGAATCAGCTGCAGGGATACAGGGAATTTCTACTTACATTCAGGAGCTTGTTGGACAACAGTGTGGTGCCAGAATCAATCTCGTGGTGGGAAGAGTTTCCAGCTTCATCTGAAGCACAGAGGAGACCTTGCCCCTTGGCACAGCCTTCACAGGCATGGTCCCAACAACGGGGTCCGTGTCAGCGTGTGTGCCAACCCTGTTGGATTTAAGGCCGATATTAAAAAAAACCCAACAAACCCAGAACATCTCCTCCTAACATCCTAACTAACAGAGCCCTTGGGCCACAGAGCCAGCATCTTGTCCTACACTGGAAGTGCCCAAGGAAGAACAGGGGGCTGTCTTGTAGGGGCTGGGTAGGGAACATGGCCATCAAAGGATTTCCAGGCAATATGTAACTTCCAGACCTGCCAACACCTGCAGTGAAAGGACACGTGAGCACCCCAACCTGAGCCAGCTTGCAGCCTGCACGAGGCAGGTGATGTGATTCTCCAAGGCCACGTGGGTCCCAGCAGCTCTGGGGAAAGCCCCAGGCTTGTGTGGGAAGCAAGGCACCCATCTGGCACCACAGCAGGGCTTGCCTCAGGGGTTGGCGTTGGCAGCCTGGCATCCTGACCCACTTCTGAACCACTCCCACAGGGCCGGATCCTGCAGGAATTCCCCCGGCAGGGGTTGGTAGTGTTTTCAGTTCCACACCTGTGGCCTCTGCCTGGCAAGGGCTGACCCCACCTGCCTGTCCCCTGTCCCTCAGCTCCATCAAGTTCTGGACACGCACCCGCTCCTCTTCCTCCTTGGTTCAATGCCAGCCGCGAAGGAGAGGAATGGCTCTGGGCCTCACCTGATCTGCAGGCTGTGACAGATGTCCCTTCTGGGCAGATCAGGGAAACGGGCATCAGGATCTTATCATCTGCTCTGAAAAATGTGGCTGTGATGGCAGACATCTAGGGTGATGTCTTCTAGCTGTTGAATTTCCATTGCGTCCCTGCATAACCCTGTGGACAGTAAGCAAAGCAGCACACATTTCCCACTTGAAATAAAAGAGGGAGATAAGCAGGAAAGATGTAATTCTTTGAAATAATAAAGCCCTGCCTTCTACCTGAGGTTTGCATTTACTGTTATCACCTCCCAATATAATCTCATCCGGCTCTAGTATAAATTACTCGTAATGTGCAATACGTGTAGATACTGGGAAAATAAATGGTCTGTTAAACAAATATTGCTTATCTTCCAGAGCGGAGAATGTAGATGTGTGTCAAATAACTCAGCCAGATCTTTCATTATAGCTGTAAATAACAGCTGAGTAAAGTGACATTTTCATGGACCTGACATGTTACCATAGGGGGAAAATGTGGTGAGAGATTTGCTTATGCCCTGGCTAACTTAGGAGCTGGGAATTTGGGAAGCCATATCCTGTTTGTAGCTCTGACAATTGGAAAACCGTTTCCCCTTACACTCCCTAGAGATCTAATGCCACATCTTAGTGCCTTCCCCATAATGACCGTAGCAAAAGGAGTCGGTCAGTTCTGGTTCTTCGTGCTCTCTGGGGAAACGCTTTGGAGGTTTATGTATTTCAAATCACATTAATTTCCTTTCCTTTTTGTTGCTTTGCTGCCTAGAATTTGAAAGCTAAAGAACAGTCAGTGCTGCCGTTTAGCTGTAGGTTGAATTCCGTTCAGCAACCAATTTTATCTGTGTTTATCTATCTGCTACTTGCAGAAAGCAGAGTTTAGCTGCCCAGGCCGTTACATGCCTGAAAGACATCAGAGGGAAGAGGCAGAGGGAAAAATGCAGCCGAACAAGAAAGCACTTCATCTTTTTAATAATATTGTAACTCTTTGCTGGTTGAAACAAATTACGTGCTGGAAAGGAAATAAAAATAATAACATGTTTACTGCTTAATAGTCACCTTGGATCTGTTTTGAGGGCATAATGTCTACACATGGGGTCACTATTTGGTCTCTCCAGTGTCGTTCCTTTCCTCTCCTCAACCCTCCTGGACTACCAGACTACCTCCTGTCCCTGCATGTCCCTGCACAACCTGACAGGGTTGTGGTGGCTTTTGCAGAGCTGTGTCTGGTAAGTACCAGCACAGCTCCAATTACTGAGGACAGTTGAATCAGGTCTCCTACTGCAGTGTTCCAGGAGAGCAACTCTTGGATAGACAGACCTCAGCTGTGCATCCCTTGTAGACAGCCTGGTCTAAAGTGATGTGGGCTTCTCCTCTTCACCATCAGTGACCCCCAGTAGTGGCAGCAAGCTCTGCTCCCTGCCAGCCCATCTGTGGTGCCGGACAATACAGAAACCCACCTTATTTGTGAGGTGTCTGGAGATCACCAAGTGATTGCTAGAAACGAGCCTGGGATCATAATTTTTTCAAGGGAGTGCAGCAGTCCAGTGCTCCTCTTCTTTCAACCATTCCTGTGCAGAAGAAGAAAGAATTGAATCAGTATTTTTTGACAGGCAGAACATTTTTGTTTTGTTTTTACCTTAAAACAGTATGGAAGGAACTGGTATCAAACTCTTGCCAAAAAGCCAGCTTTTGACACGTGCCAAGCATATAACATTTCAGCCCCAAAGACAGATCTTTTGGAAAGCTCATGTCCCCTGCTCCTTGCTTCCCAGCTCCAGGTGAGGTGCAGGAGCCGACATTTCAGAACATCACTGGAGGGGAAACGAAATGTCACCTGAAGTGCCTTTCAGTCCCTGCTGTGTAAAACCTGTGCTTACTGTTTAGTGACCCCTTCATGCTGTGCAAGCAAATCAGTTGCTGTTTGTTGAGCACCCTGCAGCGTCCTACAGATGATCTCTATTTTTAGGCCATGCCTTGTAAGTTATTTACATCTTCCCTGTGCAGACTTCCAGGTCACTTCAAGGTTTCTGACCTGCAGCAACTCACGGTACTACTTGTGGAAGAAAAGTGTGAGTCTGTAATGGTATTGACGGGCAGTAGAAGTCCTGGCTTTGGCTTGCCAATGTCCACAGTTGTTCCAGCTTTCTAAATTAGGCCAAGCCTGCAGTTCTGAGGTTGGTGCCTGTTTATAGCATATGAAATGCATTATGAAGTGCTTGTTGTCACCCTTCCCTACCCAGAGCGAGGTAAACTATAACCCACAATGGAAATACTCTCATCACCACTCCATCCAGAACTAACCTGGAGAAGATTTAATCCCGCTCTCACCGAGTTCAGTGGCAGCTTTTTGACTCCGATTGCTTCCAGTCATGCATGCCAGCGCCTCCATTCCTCGGTGCACGCCGGTATTGTTTCTGCGGCACGTTCTTGTTTCCTGCTCCCTGCTGTGGGACTTGTGCTTTCCACAGACGCGTTGGCCGCGGTGCCCACGCTCTGACCGAGCGGCACCCCCGGCACGGCGGGCTGGGAGTCTGTGCTGTACAAACACTGGGGGCCAGCTGCCCCAGCAATGTGCCAGCTAAGACACAGGAAGGACCTCGCCTCCCACATCCTGGGGATGTTTAGAGCACACTTAGTGTCAGCATTTGTTAGCAAGAAGTGTGAAGACTTGTTTGCCTGGAAGCACTGAAATGGCTTCTTTGAAAATGCTTCTTTAAAGGAGGGACACATATCCCCAGCCTGGCTTCCTTCGCCCGTTCAAGCACTCTGCAGCTCTCTGCAGGTGAACCCCCAAAAGGGCAGCCTGCCTGCTGTTCACAAAGCCCATGAGTGCCTGTCCACATGGTGTTTGACTCCTGCACCCAAATGAACCTCTTCTCGTGTACAAGATGTCTTTAGAAAGAGCTCTGGCCATGTGCAGACTGTTAAAAGCTGGATATCTGCACCCTTGTGAATTGAGGCTTGTCTGATGTAAACAATTCACATTTCAGAAGCAAAGAGGTTTATTTATGACCAGAAAGGCTCCCCTTGCCCTCCCCTGTCAAGAGTGTTGAAAGCAATCGAGAAGTGAACTTTGCCTTTTGGCCAGTGTTTGGTAGGAAGGGTAAACATATACATACATACATACATACATACATATATATATATATATATATATATACACATATGCACCTATATTTTTTCTCCCCCCCCATACCTATGCAAATACTGTCCTCCTCTGACAATGGAACAGAAATACTCAATGAAAAAGAGAGGTTGGCCATCTTACTTTATAGCACTACTTTACACAGTAGTAAAGTGCAGGGATATTTCAGTATGGAAAGAATAAACAGCTTTGTGGTTTTGGGACACAGAATTGAAGGGCTTGGTGAATTCAGATGGAGCAGTGACATTTTTTTGACTTAGCCTGAGGCAGAAAGTCCAAACCACAAGAGAAAACCAGACCTCAGCTAGTGGGAGCTGATGCTGTTGAGTGGACTCAGCAGGGCTTTGCCAGTTAACACCAGCTTGGGGGACACTCTGCTGAGCATTTGGGGACCTCCACAGTGTACAGGGCAGGGCACAGGCTGCAGAACCTCTCCCAGTGCTGCCAGTAGAACCAGGTCACAGCTCCAGTGTTGTCTCTTGTGCCACCCAAACAGAAGATGCTGGGGCAAGTGGAAGGGAGAGGCCTGGGATGGGCAAGCCAATACAAGAGCTGTATCCTCAGCTATTGTCAGTGGATTCTGTGAGTCCTGAGATGCTCTTGCAGAATTACACGGGTGAAATGTGGCTGTGATTGTAGCACATATGGCCTCTGCATGGTAGAAAGTAGAAAACTCCATGAGCTTTTCAGGCATCTAGACACCCTGCACAGAGGCTGCCGGGCCTCTCCTTTAAAGAAAGCCCGTGTCCCTGTGGGTCATAAATATCTGCTGACAGAGAAGTAGTGGCAGGGACTGAAACATGCAATGACATTTTTCCAGGAGGGCAGGATTAGGCTTAATTAGCTGCTGGGCTTAGTCCAGGCACCAGACACAGGATCTCTATATGTGGGAACTGATGTTTAGGAGCACCTCAGTATAGAGAACTGGGATTACTCATTTCTGTGGTGGGCAGAGGAGCTTAGGCTGGACTGTGACAATTTGTCAGAGTAGTAACTTCAGGGTGCAGTTAGTCTTAAAAATCCAGTTTTTGGTGTCATGAATTGGAGCAGCTCCATTCATTATAAACTCCTGGCTTGAAACTGGTTTCCTGCATTGCAGAGGCCACAAGGTGCCCCAGTGTCTCACCCCACCCTCAGCTGTGCATGGTTAACTAGAATATCCCTTGGAGCATGAGAGCCATTTTTGGCACAGAGACTTCAGCAACAGCAAGTCTCCCACTTCCTCTGCTGGATCAGTGTAAGAGATATATATACACACACACATATATATATGTATATATACATATACACAAACACACACATATATATACATATAAATATAAATACACATCGCTTAAGTAGACCTATATCCTTTAAATCAGCAGACTTAAGCCCCATATCTGTGTTAGGTCAGATGTGGAGCACTTTTCCATGCTGGTGCACTTCAAGTGTTTGTAAGGCTTGTTAATTCATAATAGTAAAGGTAATACCAGGGCTAAAGAAAATCCCCAAACAATTGCAATTCCTATAAGAAACAGGAAAGGAAGAAGGAAAAGAAGGGCTAAGTTTCAACAAGCAGATACTGCAGCATGGAGTGCCAGAGATCTGGGCAGAGTCACGTACCTGGGAGGTGTTGGTAGGTGAGGGCAGTCCACAGTGTCGCATGAGGCTGCTCAGCTGCCAGCCACAGCACATTTGGAACCTCATCTGGTGTGTCCCACTTGCTGTGCTCTCCTTTCCTGCAGATGCCTTACCTGCTCCTGAACCCGTCCATGCCAGAGATAAGGCCTCGAATGCACCCTGTGTTTTTTGGAGAAAGCATTGAGGTCAGCCCCGAGCCCGTGCAGGAAATCAGGTACAGATGGGATTGGGTGGGTAGGTGGGGATTTCTGTGTTTTTCCTGGTGCTTTTCCTTCTGCCAAAAATTAAAATGTGTTTATAAATGGGAGTCATGGTTATTTTGATGGGAAGGGAGGGACAGGTGGGAGAATAAAGCCTGAATTAAAGACACTGAGAGCAGCGGAGGTGAAGGGGAGGAGGCAAGAACTGGAGGGAGGTTTTAACAGAAGGCAGCTTTCTTTCCAAGGCCAGCTCAAATCCAAGGCTATGAGACAAAACCATTACCATCTGTGGGCTTGATAGCTCCACTAACTAATCTGATAGTCTTCATACTGTTCCCAGATGACTTGTATCTTGAGAAGAAGCAACACCCTTATAATTGGCATCTGTTTTTGTTAGCCCTTGCAGCAGAGAAAGCAACATTAGACCAGTCCATAGAGACTGAATGAGCTCCTCCTAGTGAGGAGATGGTCCCTCAAGGCAGTGATGGAGATGTTTTGCCCTCCTGTGGGGCTGGTGGATAAACATTGGTCTCTGCTCTTCTTTTCCTCTTTTGCTGGTGTGGAATGTACTCCGAAAACAGCCTGGAGCAGTTACACACAGCTTGGGGCAGGGACAGTGGGAGGACTGTAAAGCAAATTCCCACCTCCCTCAACCGATGCAGCGTCTCTCTGGAAATGTACCCCAGTAAATCTCTGCTGGCTGAGGAACTGCCAGCGGGCATGTTTTTATGGTGATTACATCTGAGTCGTGTTTTATGTGTGCTGAATGACTTGCTTACACCCTGGCTGTGCAAAATACATTACAGCAGCTCAGGTTACACTCAGTGCACAATCAGTCAGCCCCCCTCCGGGTGGAGGTAATGACGAGCACACACCCAGCTTTTAATCTTTTTTACGTGGAGCTGCACATTCCTTGGCTGCTGATTGCTAGAGGAGCGTTTGGGGAGCAGGGAAAACCAGTGAAAGTCCTGCTGTTCCTCGTGGATAGGAATTCTAGGGAAAGCCCTTTATGTGGCCTGCTGTCCCTACATCCCTTGTGGATGCCTGCAGAAAACAGGCAGGGTAGTGACATTCCAGGTTTTGTGGGTTCTTCATATGGCTGTTCAGGTGGTCACTTTCCTTGAGGCCAGTGGTGTGGGTATTGGGCAGCCGTAGCCTGCAGTGGCCACTGCTTTACCTTCTCTGTCACCGTTGCTTGGATTTTCTGTAGGCTCCAATAAGCAACCTCACCCCTCATCTCCCAGCACTCTGATTTTAGCTAGCTTGGGCATCTTCGTGCTCTGATGGCAAGGCACTACAAAGAAAAAAGACAAACACACAGCCTTGACAGCTCAACAAGTCCATTACAGGGTGTTTGCCTCCAGTGTAGCTCTCAGGGCTGAGCTGAGGTTGGAGTGGGGCCTGTGGAGGAAGCCAGAGGAAGAAGTGGGTGGCTTGGAGCCTGTGCACCAAGGTGTTTTCTGCCCTGGCAGGACCATGGTTCCCTGTGCACATGCACTGCAGAAATGCTGAGATGGATTCACAGCAAGGGGTGGTTCCACCAAGATTCACCAGAAGGACGAAGTCCTCTTTCGGTCCTTGCTTTGGGTTGTAGAGTTGGCATCAGCCCCAGTGTCTATGCAGTAAGAGATCATAAACATTGCCAGCTTCAAAGGGTCAGAGCAGAGCCCTGCCTGTCTTATCTCCTTTACTGCCTGGGCTGCATTCCTGATACCTTGCTGTCCTCTGTAGGTGCAATTCCGAGGTGAAGTACGACTCCGAGAAGCATTACCGGGACGACATTTTCTACGGCCCCATCCCCACCGTCACCACCTACAGCGAGACGATCATCGCTGCTCCCAACTGCACCTGGCGGAACTACAAGTCCCAGCTGATCTTCGAGCCCCGCCAGAAGCCACTGAGGTTTCAGAGCACAACCATCATTTTTCCCAAGCGTGCCAAGAACATTTACCGGACCACCCTCAGCTACAGCTTGGGTTGTGCCAAGCGTTGGTTCGCTTCCAGCGTGCAGCTGGAACTCTGTGAGGAAACCAGCCCGTGCGTCATCTACAGCGAGACCCTCTGATCCGCCCCGGCAACCGCGCGACCTCCGGGAGGCCGCGGCCTTCGCCGGGCCTCTGGCTGGGCCTTCATGGATGGCGACTGAACATCAATGGCTGGAGAACAACCTCGTCGTGGGTGAGGCTGAACTGGCTGGGAGGAGGCTTGCAGGGCACGGGATGGTTTTGATCGGTGAGAGAGGCTGGCTTGTATTTTGCGACATTCCTGATGTTCATGATCTGGATTTTGTTTTTTGGTTTTTGGTTTTTTTTTTTTTTTTTCCCCGAGCATATCTATTTTGTTTAGATGAAATCAAGACGACCAAGGACCCTGTTACCCGTAGCAGAGCCTAGTGAGCTCTGTAGGTCTCGTCTAGCACATAGGTGAGAGTCACTGTAACATTCAGAGCTATTTTGATCTCTGCAAAGGGAAGACCAACTGCAGAGTCAGCGTCTGGTCAGCCCGGCATAGACCAGGCCAGGTCTCAGAGCTGAAATGCAGAGGAGTTGGTTATTAATACACCACAGCTTGCTCCAACAGCTCATCTGAGAGGGAGCTGCAGTATTACACCACTGCAGTCACCTCAGGCCTAACTTCCTGGGAGCAGTGGGGACTGTCACCCCAGGAAAAAGGAGAAAAACAGGCGCCCGGTGCTCTCGCAAGGCGCTGGGGGTTTGTGTACCATGGCAAGGCACAGCACAGCCAGGAGATGGGAGAAGGGCTTGCCCTGACCCAGTCATGTCTTCTGTGAGCCTGGCTGAGACTGAGGAAACTGAATAGGTGGGGGGCTGGTTTCTAAAACTGAGCAAGTGATTTAGGAACCCACTGCCCTTTTTCAAAAGTTTTGTCAGTCCAAGTGTGCTGTGCTGTTCACTGCCTTGAACACTCAGTTTACAGGGATCTTTAAGCACTTGCAACCCTTCTGAGTTTCGGGGAATGGCACTATTGCAGGGAAGAGCATAGGGTAGGAAGATGATCTCTGGCTTCAAAGAAGCCCAGGGCAGGGTTAACTCACCCTCTCAGTTGTTTCCTTACTTGTGGCATGGACAGCTTTTCTGACTGTGGAGGAGCAGCCAAAATTTCTGTGTAGAGCTTGAAGAGCCCAAATCAGTCCAGGTCTTTCTAAATCATCCAGGCTGTAGCAATTCAACGGGTACTTCACAAACAGCTGAGCTGTCTCTGCAAAAGGACCAAGAAACACAGAGTGAGCAGGAGTCAGTACAGCCATCCTGAGGTAAACCATTCCCCACTCATGAATCCCATTTCCTGGTATCCCTTCACTTTGCTAGCTTGCTGAAAATCTGCAAGAGATTGGATTCCCACAAACATATAACTTTTGAAAATAGCACAGAATTGTCTCCAAAAATCTTACCAAGAATTCTTGCATGCTGCTCAGACTTAGAAAATAACCACACAGCTCCGGAAATTAATTTCCAGCTTTCCCTCTTCTAAACTTTCCATTTTGTTCCTGACTTGCTGTGAGTCTGATGGAGTTATTTCAGAACACAGCTCAGCAGCCAAGTCAGAAAGCCTATTAACAATGTCAACAAGATGTAGCTGATTGCCCAGAACAGTTGACGCACAAACCCACGAAGATTAAAAAAAAAATCTGAAAAACTTGAAAAAATAGTAAAATTAAACAGTGACTTATAAAGATACTCTTTCCATAAGTTTCAAAAAGCAATTGGTAAATGTGACCAGAACTGTGACCTTTATGAAACAGAGTTCTCTTGTTTAAAATGGAACACAGTTTTTCCACCAGAGGTAAATATAAAGTCTTTATATATAAACTTGAATCCTGACAGCTGAAGCATCATTAGCACTGAAAGACGTGTGTTATGGCAGTGATGAACTCTGCTTCTCTGGGAGTTAGCACTTGGTAGGGAGAAACCTCTCAAAGGATTTCCAAGGCTTCCACCTACTGTTGAATTCTTTACAGCAACACAAACAAGGATTATATTTGTTATTGGTCAGGTTTTGCTGTCAGTGACTGTCAGCATCAAAGCCTGGAAAAGCACCGTGTGCCTCTGAAGGGATTATTATGCCTGAAGCAACCCTTCTCCCCAGGGCACCAGCAAACATGGAGTTGGCTTAGGCAGCAGGGAGGAGATGCGAGGATGAACATGGTCCCTGTCCCAGTGCAGTTAAGTTGGTGATGCACTTACTTGCTAGTTCATCCTGAGGTCTGTCCTGTTCTCCGAGTGTTGCTGAGTGAGCCTTGGGACTGGGGGAAATACCCACCTGCCTTCCTGGGTACACGTGAAGGCTCTGGAGGGCTCATTGCACACATCCAGGAGAGTCTGTACAAAGGGGGGCAGGTTTCCAAGCTGAGCAACACTGTTATCCAGGTTCCAAAGCAGGGCCAGGAGATCCCTGCATGATGACAGATTAGATTGCAGGCACCTCCACTGAGCAAGCATGGAGACAGGCTGGCCTCAGAGCCAAAGGGATTCCAGAGACTCCCTGTTCTGACCATACATCAGGCTTTGCTCCTGTTAACAGCTGGATTATTCCCTTGCTTCAAGCACAAAGCTGCAATTTTTGATCACATTGGTCTTTGAGCACGACAGGTTTTCCCCAGAAAAAATCTCCTTTATCATGACTGGCTGCAGGCTTCTGCCAGCCTTCTCCACTGTTAGTTCTGCTTCCTAAATATTGGCCACAACAGTAAAAAAAAGAATTCAAGGAAAGCCAAAAAACTAGTGTGCAAATACAAATCCAGCAGAGAGACCTGAACCTCAGCCTGGACTTTCACCACACGGGGACAGGGGCTGCTGAGGCAAAGTCTCACAGGTGGATGTGACCCCCAGGAGGGTGCAGTGGAAAGCTGCATCCTTGGCACTGGAGGGTCCCACACACCCAGGCCAGGCCTCTTTGAAGCTTCATGCTTTGTTTTCTCTGCAAATAGACTAGAAATGACCTAACATGCTCCTGCTCCTTCGAGTTTAAGCAGCTTTTGTGGTCTTGCCATGTTAGGGGAAAAAAAAGAGAGCGGTTTGGGTTTTTAGGCTGCTGAACACATTCTGAGCTGTGTGGCCACGGTGGCTGTGGTGGGACTACAACCCTGGACCACATCCAAACTGGGACATTGCCTGAGATCTGTAGAAATTTTTGAAAAATACCTTCTTATGTGGTGTATCCCATGGGCCCATCACAAGCTGCTTTTGTTCTCAGCAAAAGCTGTCGCTGGAAAGGGACTTTGTTTTTCCTGAGGACAAGGAAAGCACAGAGGGTCAAGTCTTCGCCCTTGCCTGGGCACAGATCCCACCCTGCCTGTCCACCCTGTCCCTGCTGCTCCCATCCCTGTGGCTGGGTTAGGCAGTGGTGGAAGAGCCAAAGTTCGCCCTACCATGACTGGGAAAAGTGATGACTTCTTTGTTTTGTTTTGCTTAAACACCAGAAACTGCATTTTGTGTGTGTGTTGCCAATGAAGAATTGCTGCAAGCAGCCAAGAAGTGCCTCGTGCCATACCTGTAGTATGTTTGTACATCTAAAAGGAATGATTAGTCCCACTAGGGAGGTGCTTTTCTTTTAAATGGAGCATTATTAATCTCAACCAACAGATCTTTATTCCTGTATATTTTCTCAAAGATATAAGTGATTCATTTAGACCATGGAAAGGTGAGTTTCCTTGAGCAGCTCTGACTGTGGCTGCACAATTTCTCCCTGGCATCCTGATGTACATGTTGCCCACAGTCCTGTAAGCCTGATGGGTAAAGTTAGACTCTGCGTTTTGGAATTATTGTCCATCACGAGTTATTTTTGAGATCAAAAACTTTCACAGAAGGCATCTTTCTTTTTGGGGGGGATTTGGGGGTAAGATTGATTTTTTTCAGTATGGAAACTCACTGTCCCAAAGGTGGGGGGTTCCCCTTCACCCCCTTCATTCCTGTGATTCTTTTGCCCCTGAATGCAACAGAGCGTGCTGGTGTCTGGTCTGCCTGCGTTGCTGTCATTACATTTGGGGCCAAAAAGAGAAAACCCTAACTAAATACTGAACTTTCAAAAGCTGTGGAATACTTTGCACAAACCACAGAGAACAACTTTGACCAAAACAGTTTACTGCTTATCTTTATTTTTTGCCTTTTCCTTTTTTTTTCCTTCCTAAGCCAACTCTACTTTTCTCAATGTGAAATACAGACAGATTTGCACCCTTGGTGCAACATTTCTGGGAATGATGAAAATGGGGTTTGGGTGTTGATAGCAGTGTTTGAGTGAGCTGCTGGTCAGAGAAGTGAATGCTATTTACTATTTATGTTGAGTGTGTCTTAAAAAATTGGAAAGGTCACAGAAGGCTAATGAGCAAAAGACTTTGTAGAGCAAACTGAAGACTAAAGACTGTGTGAGTCTGGTCTAGAGGCAAATGGTTCTACGTGTGGACACTGTGAGCTAGGATATTTAGCCATTGTAGTTTTAACCTGCCTTTTTTCCTGTAGGAAGAGGCATTCCTTGCCTTCTTTGGAGCTGAAACAAAATCAGATCCATCCTCTGTCACAGTCATTGAGTCCCACTGAAGTCTGTGACCATCAGTGTTCCCCAGGCTTACAGGGTACTTACTGTGTGTGTGCCAAGCAAACATGCACAGAGCTGTGCCTCTGGGGAGATGGGAGATGCTTTATAGGGGATGATGGATCTTGTTGTGGGATATTCAGATTTCTACTGCCAGATAAACTCTGCTCCCTGAGGATCACCTGGCCACTCACAAATTGATCTGTTCTGAATATCTCCCCTAAAGCTTTCCTATAACCATTTGAATTTTTAAGTCCTGGGAGGCACTAATTCTTTTTCAGATACTGTGATGGTCATCAAAATGAGCAAAGTATCCTACCATGTGAGTCGTGACCTGAGGATGGGGTTGAAAGGTGTCTGAAGGTTAGAGAAGGAGAACATAATAAGTGGTGGAAATGCATAAGGATGTGTCATATTTTTATTTTTGTAAGTCTGATTCTCTAAGTGCTTGTAAAGTACTTTACTGTTGTATATGTGGTGATGCAGTAGTTCACAATATCCTTTTATTTTTGTATATTCCCCCTCCACCATAATCCCTTTCTGTTCAACTCATAGAGAGTAATTTAAGAAGACAAAATTTATATATCATAATAAAATGCTCAAACCATCATGCTGATGTATCTGGAGTT